ACTAATAAAATAAACGTGAATTTTGAAACAACTGATCAAGAGAACTAATAAACATGAATTTTGAAACAAATGATCAAGAGAACTAATAAAATAAACGTGAATTTTGAAACAACTGATCAAGAGAACTAATAAAATGAACGTGAATTTTGAAACAACTGATCAAGAGAACTAATAAAATGAACGTGAATTTTGAAACAACTGATATTTTTTTATCTCTTGCTTTGAACAAATAGTTCTTGTCAGTTTTCAAGTAAATCCGTACAGTCAATCCTGAGACCCCCCCCTCAAACCCCCTTTGATCTCACATTGGTTTCCAATATGGAAATTTCCAAATACTTTTCTTGGTTGTTTATAATTAAGCACAAAGCTGTACAATGGGCTATCTAAGCTCTGCCCACCACTGGGGGGGGGGGGCAATACTTTTCTTATCTTCAGAAATCCCTGACATGACCATACGAACTTTTATATAAATCCTCGAATTTAGTCGTGAGAACCCCCAAAACCAGCTAATTAGATATCAACATAAATGTTCAAGCGAAACGGACCAGTCGAACCCAAGACCCCTGTAACCCCCTTAAACCCTCTTCACAATTATTTCGAAAAATTTTTTCTTTCTCTTACATTCTTTGTGGGCCAAGAACCTATGTGCAAATTTCAAGTTGTTTTGTCAAAAATTATGGTCTAGCTCATAAACGAAGTAAAGACACATATGTTATCTTCTGATCACCGCGTGCTACCTCTTAGACACGAGCTTAAAAGACTACTTACTAAAATAGTATAACTAATCTAATAAACCAGTCAAACTGGAAGCATGTGAAATAAATAAACATTGTAGTTAAATACGTATTTCAAACCTCATCAATCGAATTTTCAATCACGAAGGTTAATGGACTCGGATTATTTATTGTTGAGATGAGGCATAACATAACAATGTAAAGTCAATCACTCATACGTGATCAGGTACGTAGCTGTTTCCACATTTCTTTACTAATCCTGCCTGCTTGAACCTTCGGCGTGTATATATTTTAATGACAGTTGTCAGGTTTAATAACGACCCCACAGGGAATTAGTATTCCATGTGTATCTAACCCCACCTTCGCTGAATATTCATGTCGTATATCAACGTTTGACAAGAATGGGGCGGTTAGCAAGTATGAATTCTATAGAGTCGGGTCGTAGAGGCCTCAGACAATGGTCCGCTTGTTAAGAATTATGTATACACGCTTTTTAACTTGAACGTTCTTCTACTGTTCTGTTTAACCTTCTTAAATGTTATACATTTTCACCCACTGGGCGAGTAAAACCATCTATTGATTGTGAGATAAAAACCTCCAAAGGTTTAATTCACTGTTAAGAGGCTTAATATGGACTTAATTTAATCCTTTCTCTACCAGGTGTCTCTAGTTGTCCTTTGTTGGGCGAATACAATTATCATATATATAAGTAGACATGTGAGGCTTATACTAGTAAGACGTTATTATGGACTTTATTTTTTTTTCTATCACAAATGTCAAAGTCTCCCAGTGTGTTAGGGACTTACAACTCTTAAAAATCTCAGGTTCAATTCCCCCGTGAGGGTTAAAGAGCAGACAGCTTTTCGGTAACACAAACAAACGAAATGTCAAAGTTTTGTATATCTGTTTTCGCATGTCATTATTTTTAAATAACATAATCCTATCATTTCGAAATAAACAAATATCATCACTTGAAAATATAGGGAACAGAAATAATAGGGTTGGAAAAAAAATCACACATTTAAATAAGAGTTTAAGTCAAAATTCTTTTTTAGAACGTGGAACTTGAATTGCCCATTACACGTAACAATATTATATTATTTTAACTGTCCATTACACGTAACAATATTATATTATTTTAACTGTCCATTACACGTAACAATATTATATTATTTTAACTGTCCATTACACGTAACAATACTTTATTATTTTAATTGTCCATTATAATTAACAATATTAAATTATTTTAATTGTCCATTACACGTAACAATATTATATTATTTTAACTGTCCATTACACGTAACAATATTATATTATTTTAATTGTCCTTTACACGTAACAATATTATATTATTTTAATTGTCCTTTACACGTAACAATATTATATTATTTTAATTGTCCATTACACGTAACAATATTATATTATTTTAACTGTCCATTACACGTTACAATATTATATTATTTTAATGTAACATATCATTATTAATTTTGCTTTATTTTGTAATTTATTGTGCTCTCCACAAGGATCGTACCTCGAACTTTAGGTCCTCAAGATTATCTCTAAACAATGCAATAACTTATAGTGAACATATGTGGAAATAGCACAGACTGGTATAAAATTGAAGTGATCTTAAGAGAAAAAAAATGCTTCAATGTACAATCAAATAACACGAAAACTTACTTCATTTGTTGGAAACTAGGGTCAGTTTCGTGTCTTAGGGATCATTAATTAATTTACAATAGTAAATAGTTCAACAGAAAAATTTGAAACACGCGACCAGAAGCTAGTACTTTCTGTCAGGGTATAACTAATTATCATTCATATCAACTCAAAAACTGAGATCCTCACCTTACTGTGGGTCATCCTGTGGTAGTAAAGGTTAGAACTAGCAGTAAACCGTTTACCACAGACGTGACATTGGTGGGGTTTCTCGCCAGAGTGGATCCTGCGGTGAGTATTGAGAGAGCTGGAAGTACTGAAACCTTTCCCACATACGTCACAAATATGGGGTTTTTCACCTAAAAAATCGCATCGAGAGTTAACAACATCAGACAAGTCACAGATGAGACACAAGAACACATTAACAGTTAACAACATCAGACAAGTCACAGATGAGACACAAAATCACATCAACAGTTAACAACAAGGGACAAGCAAAGGATGAGACACAAAATCACATCAACTGTTAACAATAACAGACAAGCCAAGGATGAGACACAAAATCACATCAACAGTTAACAACAACAGACAAGTCAAGGAAGAGACACAAAATCACATCGACAGTTAACAACAGCAGACAAGTCAAGGAAGAGACACAAAATCACATCGACAGTTAACAACAACGGACAAGTCAAGGAAGAGACACAAAATCACATCGACAGTTAACAACAACGGACAAGTCAAGGAATGTCGATGTGATTTTGTGTCTCTTCCTTGACTTGTCCGTTGTTGTTAACTGTCGATGTGATTTTGTGTCTCTTCCTTGACTTGTCTGTTGTTGTTAACTGTCGATGTGATTTTGTGTCTCCATCCTTGACTTGTCTGCTGTTGTTAACTGTCGATGTGATTTTGTGTCTCATCCTTGACTTGTACGTTGTTATTAACTGTCGATGTGATTTTGTGTCTCTTCCTTGACTTGTCTGCTGTTGTTAACTCCGTTGTTGTTAACTGTCGATGTGATTTTGTGTCTCTTCCTTGACTTGTCTGTTGTTGTTAACTGTCGATGTGATTTTGTGTTTCAAGTCAAGGAAGAGACACAAAATCACATCGACAGTTAACAACAACGGACAAGTCACAGATGAGACACAAAATTACATCAACAGTTAACAACATCAGACAAGTCACAGATGAGACACAAAATTACATCAACAGTTAACAACAAGGGACAAGCAAAGGATGAGACACAAAATCACATCAACTGTTAACAATAACAGACAAGCCAAGGATGAGACATAAAATCACATCGACAGTTAACAACAACAGACAAGCCAAGGATGGAAAGAAATAAAAACCAATTTTTTTTTCTCGAGTCTTCCAAATTACTTTAGATCATAAATAAACGAAACGACCGAGAACTTCAGATAATCTGTCATTTTTTTTATATTAATTCGCTCAACGAAACGGCGTTCATTACAGTAAAATGTGTACTCTCGAAAAAGGCGTAAAGCCGAAACGCAACGCCTCACACGATGTAAAACCTCCCGTTGAAAAGTCAATCTAAATTGGATCTTTTTGAATATCTTTCAAACACGTTCACGTGGCCACCTCACGTGCTTTAATATTCTAATAAATTGTTCAGAAAATTTGAAGACGGAGCTGTCCCGATTTAAAGACTTTATAATTTTCGGGCAAAGTTATACAAGGGCAAACGGCGCATAGTTGTCTATAATTTTTAACTGATAAAGTGTCGTGAATACAGCTGACCAACAACACCCACCACCAACTCTAACACTACTTTTGTCTGCCCGAATAATGGGACTTGACCGTCATTGTCATGGCACCAACGTTACGGAGTGCTCTCTTGAAGCAAGGGCTCACGAAACACGAAATCTTGAATTTACGGTTCGAGCACGCTAACTACTGGGTTCCCAGAATTCAGACCAGAGTCCGCTACGAAACTCTCTTGTTTTTCGAAAGGAAACTGGCTGGCGGTAATTTTTTTCGGCTAAACTAATCGGATGTGCTAAACATAGACTAGACATATAAACGATCAGTGAATAATTATGGATATATGCTACATAAATTCCACACAAGCTTTATTCAATGTCTCCCGGTAAGTTATCGGTAAATGTATGGGATTCCAACTCTAAATTTCAGGGCTCGATTCCTCGCGGTGGGCGCAGTGCAAAGAACCCATTGTGTAGCTTTGCGCAAAGCTATACGAGGGCTAATTCAGCAGTGAAAGACCAGAGGGAAGGCAACGAAGCATCACCACCCACCGCCAACTCTTGGGCTTCTCTTTTACCAACGAATAGTGGGATGGCCCGTCACATTATAATGCCCCCACGGCTGAAAGGGCGAGCACGTTTGGTGTGAGGGGGATTCGAATCCGCGACCCTCAGATTAGCTCTAGATCGCTCTATCCTCCTGGCCAGCTTTGCACTGACCAAAACAACTGTACAACATTTGTACACTTACTATTAGCTATTGGATGAGAAGTACCCTTCCACCCCCCCCCCCACCACCCCGGTCAGAACACCCAGCAGTTGAAAACTTCTTCAAGCTGTAAAAGGATTACTTCTGGAAAGGAAACCTTTAGTGCGATATTCATGCGTGATAAAATTGCAAAGAAACACTACACGTTCGCACGCCTCCTCCAACCCTCTAGTAGGTCAACACCCACTTAACGTTTACACAAACCAACCCCATAAATTTCAATGGGATAAAGATTATTAAATTAATTCGGAACAAAAGTGGCAAGGGGGTCAGCCCCCCATCTTTAATACATTGATAGGGTAAAATGTTGGTCATTTTACTGCTTATTTTCTCATTAATTTTATTCGGAACAAAAGTGGCAAGGGGGTCAGCCCCCATCTTTAATACATTGATAGGGTAAAAAGTTGATCATTATACTGCTTATTTTCTCATTAATTTCATTCGGAACAAAAGTGGCAAGGGGGTCAGATCCTCCCATCTTTAATACATTGATAGGGTAAAAAGTTGGTCATTATACTGCTTATTTTCTCATTAATTTCTTTGTTTTTTAAATCCGATTTCCATCGTTTCTTCGAGGGCCCACTACATTAAAAAAAGGCCCAAACCGTAGCTGTAATTGTAACTATTTTCTGTGAAGCCTTCGAACGTACCTAGTACCTCCTCCTGCCTCCCACTTTCGATAAACGTCAGTTATTTCCAAATCTGCTCTCTAAGCCACCCAACCACCCAGAGACTCAGCAGCAAGTCTTATGGCTTATAGTTATAACGCTAGAAATCGGGTTTCGATACTCGTGGTGAGCACAGCACGGTTAGCCTATTGTGTAGCTTTGCGCTTAACAACAACAATCAAACAAACGCTTTGTCGCAAACATTGCTAATCAAGTGAATCAATCATTACAAAAACATTTCACTTTTGATCAAAAATAACACTTTTTGACATAAACGCTTTGTCGCAAACATTGCTAATCAAGTGAATCAATCATTACAAAAACATTTCACTTTTGATCAAAAATAACACTTTTTGACATAAACGCTTTGTCGCAAACATTGCTAATCAAGTGAATCAATCATTACAAAAACATTTCACTTTTGATCAGAAATAACACTTTTTGACATTCCAGCAAATACATCTTGCGTTACCAAAATATCATAACGATAACTATCTTCGAACTTCACTTGCCTGTGTGTGTCCGCATGTGTCTTCTGAGGAGGGAAGGTCGATCGAAGGCTTTGCCGCATACTTCACAAGGCAGGAGAGATCGCTCGCGGGCCTTCTTCGCTGCCACCTGGCGGGCCTCAACTCCTGCAGACTGAAGTGGCGAGAAAAGAATAAATATGATAAATTTAAACTCCACGTGCTCCTCTTCGTTAACTAGCTGTACATACATATTTATATACATATATTTAGACATTAATCATCGGCTTGCTATATACATATATTTAGACATTAATCATCGGCTTGCTACCAGTATTGAATTGCTACCGACCCTCTTCTTCCCAGGTTCTTACAAGCCTTAAGAGATTTAGAGTTCTAGAATATTTACCTCATCGCTCGTGGAAAACCAACCATTGGATACAGAGCGTCGCTTGTCTGTCTCGAAACGTATCGTGTTTAGAGTTTGGTGGTCCTTATTTCCGTGACATAGTATCGGAGCTCTTGAGAACAGCAAGGATTTTGACAGATCTAGCGGAGATTCTGAAGAACAAAAACAAAACCTGTCGATCTCTTCTATCTGAACGTTGTTCTCAGAACAAAGAAAACAATGATGCGTTTGTTAGTTACTTCCTCTCAATAAGCAATGCTATCAAAGTCATCAATGATCTATTATTCACATCATTTAACGAAGATTACTTATTGCTTAATTAATATACAAAACTTTCAAATATTCAAATCACTCAAGAAATTTACCGACATTGTTCAGCTAGGAATCAACAATTTATATATAAATATGGATCTTAATATTAGTTGGTATTCCGTATATTGAACCTAAGCCTTATTATAATGGCTGGAGACGGCTTAAATTGGTAATGAAGAAAAACTTTAATATAAGTTTTTCTTCACTACCCATTCAAGCCGTCTCCAGCCATTATTAGTCTCAAAGTGGGTTCCTCGTCATCGAATTTAAGCCTTATTATGTGACACATATGCTAAAGCACCAGATCAGAGACCGCATATAGCGCTAACCAATGGGAGGGCAGCCAACCAACAGCACTGTCCGCCTACACGGTTCCTCATAACGGAATAGTGGAGTTGACTATAATAGACTGCTGAAAGTGCGAATCTTGAACCTTCCGATGCACAGCCCGGGATGCTAATCACTAGACCATGCCCACGTAGACGACAAGTATTTGCCGTAAATAGTTGTTATTAAACTCTCGACTTAAAGAGACTGAAAAGCTTTAAAAGGTTACAATTGATCGTCATCATACTTCAAGACTAAAACTTAAAAACGTGACGACTTTGTTGTCCATGTAGGTTCTGTTAATGTCCATGAACATTATTTTCAACACTACTGACACTAACGGTGACACTCTCCATTTCCTCAATCAAGAGTCACAAGAGTGCGCTCGTAGTTCGAGCACGTCATCCCATTTGGTTTGATTGTGGTTTAGCGCTGAGCTATACAATGGGCTATCTGTGCTGTGCCCACCACTGATATTGAAACCCGGTTTTTTAGTGTTATAAACCTCTTAAATTACCGCTGAGAGACTGGGGAGCACTTATACGAAAGTGTTACACGAAGGGAGTGCTATAATAAGTTTCTATAGAGCCATCCACGAGTGGCTTTCCAGCATCTATATGATCGTATGTTGCTTCAAAACTGAAACAGATTATTATTATCGTCACGCATGCGCGCAAGTCGACGTCTTAAACACCACCATTAAAGTGCATTAGTTTAAACAGGGGGCTGAGAAATCACCTGCTGAAGTGCTTTGACACTTCCAACTTCAGAGCTAGTTAGAGCTGAAGCTTAGCATTTGGTATTTTTTGCGGAAACTGATTTTCAGAGAGACACGCACGTTACTTAACGTTAATGACCGGTTAAATCCAGCGTTATTCCGGGTAGCATGAGATTAGCAAGTCTAAATAAACCGGAAGCTCTAGCCAAAACTAATTTAAATAAACCGGAAGTGCGTAGCGAATTCAAATCCTTGTTAGATTGTGATATCAGCCAAATGAAACATATTACACGTTGGTCGTGTTTCTGAATTAAGAACCTGATTTTTTTTTTTGGCCGTGTTCCTAAGCTGACGAAAGTACAGTTTAAACCAAATCTGGAAGTGTAAAGACTAGTAACGTTTAAGTGAACTTACTGAAGACGTAACTAACGTCTCGTTTAGGCTTAGCTATCCACAAGGAAGCAAGTTATGTTTCATAAATATTCAGAGCAGAAACTGAAGCGTTGTGCATTTTGAGATAATAACGACTGTACATCAAGGTCAGTCCACAAAAAAAAAAAAAAGATTTCGGAGACGCCTGGCCTCGGGTTAAGGCGGTACCTTTATGGAGCGTGCCGTCCGCAGTAGGAAGGTGATCTTTAACGGGTGAACTTGATGCAAAAGCATACGATATCGCTATGATGGAAAGAGCGAAATGGCAATTATGAAGTTCGTGGTAAGACCTCTAGTCTCGAAGATTACGCACTGTTTGTTAAGACCCGGCGCTGCCCCAAGGATGTTTGCTCCGAGCTCGGAGCATCAGAGTAAAATGTATTGATAACACCGGATCATGTGTGTTCATAATGATATCTCTTCTCGTACGAATGTGCGTAGTTTCCTACACGCTCCGGGCTGGTGTGGTTCTCTTGTCGTATATCGTTTTTTTTTTTTTGTCAGGTGTCATATATCTTATGGGCCTGTTGTTGTTGTTGTGTGTCATTTCGTTTGCACCTCTGCTTCGTTTGGTTTTCAGTTAATAGACGTGTTATCATGAAAATATTTTGCTGGCATAATTTCACTGTTTTCATGTTCGCAAACTTTTAATTTTATACGTAGAGAAAGATTTTGTTTTAAAAAAGTTAATTTTATGGGAAGTTTTCTACTTTATTTACCATCTTAAGTCGCTTAAAAATAACGAACGAGGTTGAACGTAACACATGAGGTTAAAAGTAGATAGGCTTTAGGCCCGGCATGGCCAGGTGGCTAGGGCGCTTGACTCGCAATCTGAGGGTCGCGGGTTCGAATTCTCGTCACACCAAATATGCTCGCCTATGTGAAAGTAACACATGAGGTTAAAAGTAGATAGGCTTTAGGCCCGGCATGGCCAGGTGGCTAGGGCGCTTGACTCGCAATCTGAGGGTCGCGGGTTCGAATTCTCGTCACACCAAATACTGCTCGCCTATGTAGAAAGTAACACATGAGGTTAAAAGTAGATAGGCTTTAGGCCCGGCATGGCCAGGTGGCTAGGGCGCTTGACTCGCAATCTGAGGGTCGCGGGTTCGAATTCTCGTCACACCAAATATG